GTCGCCTGATGACCCAAATAGCTGCGTTCTATGTGGAATTTCTAGGGGTTCGCGTCACCGGATTTTGCGAAAAACTTATCGCAACAACCTATATTTTTTTTCTGTTTTTCAGAAACAGGAAATAGTAAGCTATTTCAGCATATAAGCCGTTAGCCTGGGAAAATTCGTTTTTTCCAAGCAGGTCCGTTGAAAAAACTGCAAAAAAACTACATTTTTCGTATCCAAAATTTACGTTTAACTACAGTTTCTACCCAAATTATAGAGTCGACGGACAATAACCAAAATTGTATCGGAAGCCGGCTGGAAACCTCCGTTGACTGATGTAATGAGATTTCCCGGCGTACTTTTCTTGGCGGAGTTATAGCCCTTCGGTCTGAGGGTGTCCGCCGGATCCAAAATCGTAAAAAAAACTCCGGTCCGAGACCGTAAGCCGAAAACATCCGAAATTGCGCAAGAGGGCGTTGACCCCTGACCCATTGGCCCACCCGGAAGTTCGCTGGCTGCGACCCGCGCGATCCCACCAGGCACGAGACGTTGATTGACGGCACATGTGGTTCACATCTGAACAGTTTCAAAGAATGCTGACACCCCTCTGTGTGAAAGGTCAGATCAGTGGTCGCGACCTCAATGGTGATTATACATGCAAAGGTTAAAAGCTGAGGCCCACTTTCACACTGAAAGGGGTGTCCATCGGCGGTCTAAACGCATCATTTTCACGCACTAAAACACACATACTAAAAAACCAAAACAACGTGCACCATCTACAGCCCAACAGCAAAACGTATACCAAGTCCCAGACATATCCGTCCACCCAAACGCGAGAAACGGGTGCGAACGCAATTTTCGTCTTCCCTCACAAAACCTCCGCGCTCAGGATATACATCCCTACCTGGAGGTAACAAGGGAAAACAATGATTTACATTGATATAACTATAATATGAAGTAAAATACAACTAAAACAACAGTTGGATAGCTATTCCCTACTTTATTGGTTAGGATTTTTAATTGCATAATGCAAACTGTTGATTTTCAAAATAAAAAAAAACGTCCATGCCCGGCATTCCCATGCTGGAGCAGGAAAGCTTGAAATACCTACCAAAACACTTGAATACAGACATACTGTCAGTATGGAAATGCTTCTGTGCAGGTGTTAATCAAGTTAAATCCCAACAGCCAATCAGCAAGAAGTATAGAGGAAAGCTGCATGCCTATTGGTTGATGCCCTGCATTCCATTCTGATGACTCATGCCCAAACGTGGTAAACAAGGCAAACTAACACAGTAATACATTTGCTATAACACAGCCAAAAAACTCAAATAAAACCATTCTAAAAGCCTGTATCACAATAATTTAAAAAAGGCCAGGGGTATTTGCCCACTGTACCTCCATACCAAATTTCAGGACCTTAGGCCCTAAAATGAAGAAGCTGAATCCATTTAAAAAATGGCAGGAGAAGGAGGAGGAGGAGAAGAAGGAGAAGAAACATCAGAAAAAGCAATATGGTTTCACCACACCACTTCGTGGTGTGGTGAACCCATAAAAAAAACTACCGGGGGAACCAAGCTCAGGCGGGCGGGGAAGAGTTCATCAGCCCCGACGAAAACCCGCCCCAATCACGATAGACTGGATACCAGGTTAGAGTAATACGGGCATGGCAGTATTATTATTAACATTATGAAATATTCTCATAAAAGCTGTTAGGTGTACGATATCATAATTTGTTGTAATAGATTATTTCAACTACGGACAAGTCATCTACAACAAAATGTAATCTACAACGTTTATAAATGTAACTTACTTGAACCACAGGTTTTGTACCTCCTTCTGCCGTAGACAGTGGAAAATAAATATGAAGAATCCTTGCAAGGAGTTGAAGATGCAGAATAAGTAGGAGAAAAAAACTCTCCCATCGCTGGAGACACAATAGAGAATGTATTAATTATTCAGCGGTATTGATCATCGTTATAGATAGGTACAGGATGAAAAAAATATGGACATTAATAAGCTGGAAAGTCATTTGCTCTTCGAAGATGACCTTTTTTTTGGGGGGGGGGGTAACCCCATGTGGCGTCTGACAAAAAAATTGAGTCATACTGCAGTCTACACGTCATGCATTTAATACTATGATAACATACACATTCAGAATACATAATGTCTGCAGCATATGTTTGTATTTCATCTCGGCATGATCTGATACGAGGCTGCGATACAAGAACCTCAGTTTACTGTATTTTGAGTTACCACCTCAGTTTACATGTATTTTGAGTTACCACCTCAGTTTACTGTATTTTGAGTTACCACCTCAGTTCACTGTATTTTGAGTTACCACTATAATTTATTCTGACCTCCGACCTCTCCCTCTCTGGTTTGAGTTGCATTATCATTTTGTTTAATCAAGAGATTTTGTTGTTAATTTGTTTCATAGTTGACTACATTAACTGATTATAAATTTGATTCGAACTTAAGTTACCTTATGTTACTTAATTATGTTACTTTTATAATGTCAGTGATCACTCTGATTCGAACTCAGTTTATGTTACTTAATTATGTTGATTATTTTAAATTATTCAATTTATGTTAATATTGAGTTGAATTCTGTACATTTCTGTTGTTATAATTTTGAATTTTATGTGGACTCCAGGAAGAATAGTGGTCAGTTGAACACTAATGGAGATCTAATAAAAACAAAGAAACAAAGAATCATGCTACAAGAATGAAGAATGAAATTAATATCTAACAGATTGCAGCACCTCATACATTCCATACGCTACAATGCTGTGTTTATCTTTGGTAAATCGCCTTGATAACCTGCTGAATTATTACTGAAATTCGACAACTTACAACATTCCCTTTATCTGTTTTCTTTCGACTTTGGCGATCTCTATTTATCCAAATTATATAATACAGTCCAACAAATTAAAGCTTTGCAAATCAAATTGTTTAGGTTAGGCTGGTAAACAGAAAACACGCAATTTTTCCTAGGCCCTACACTACCAAAAATGTTTTTTCTTGTTTTTTTCCTTGAACAAAGAAAATATATCTTGTAGCAAGAAAATTATTCTTTGAACAAGAAATTTAAGAATCCCCGGAGCAAGAACATTCAAGACACACTGTTGCTGTAGCAAGAAAATAATTCTGCCCACAAGAAAATATTTCTTGAACTTAGAGCAAGAAAACCATTCTGTACACAAGAAAAGATTTCTTGTAGGAGAAAAAAACCCGTAAACTTTCCTAAAATTAAAAAAAAATCTTAAGATTTTTGTTGATTAGCATGATAGTAGAAACATTTTCTTTTCTTAATTCAGAAAAAAGAAGAATACAAATCTTTGTGTCAGATTCAATATACCATATCTTTGAAGAATGTTTCTAGAACACCACCCCCCCCGCAAGAAAATAGTTTTCAACATAAGAAAATAAGAAAAAAAAATTGGTAGTGTACTTGATCATGAAGAATCCAAATATCCAGGTGAGTCCGACCAGCACCATGACAGCAATGGCGATGCGCAGCTGCTGCTTTGTCCCTCCGCTGTTATTATCATCAACTTTCCCTACAGAAATGTTTCACTTCGATAAGTACTGCAATATCTATACGTCGTAAAAAGTAGGATGAATTTCATTGGACAATACGACTATTGGGTTGCAAAATATGTTGAAAGAGAAACAAGAAATCGCATGCTAATGTAATTAAAATATGTGTTGCACTTTATACTGGTGGCATTGTATTTATGTTTAAGTCAATTTTCTTTTAATTTTTTGTATCTGTTGGAATATGAAAAACGGGAAGGGACGAGAAAAGAAGAGATAAGAAATGCGGCCATGCAGTTCTTAAAAATTAGCTAGGAAGGTGAACGTGTATTATGTCATCCTAACGACTATCTACTGGATTGTTGACCATGCAATCTTCAGATATAAAGCACATAATTAAAAAGGACATTCATTTTGCCGACAGCTACCAGCACATTAAATATCGCATCCCACTAACATGTCCTTGAGTTATCGTAAACACATAAAATCAACACACAACTGCACATTCACAATTGCACACACACTTGCACACACACTTGCACACACACACACACACACACACACACACACACACACACACACACACACTTGTACACACACACTAAACATAGAAACGCACACACACATAAACATACAAACTCACACACATACTAACACAAATGAGCACATACATAGTACATACATACAAACACACACACAAACATACACACACAGACACACACACACACACAGCCCTTGAAACCGAAATAATAACAGATTCTCAGAACTTACCTTTGGTCCTTCCTCCGCAAGTCAGCTTGGTGATGACCATGATATACACAACGGTATTGAACAGTAGCACCAGTCCCACAGGCAACAGGAACCCATAGTACAACTGGTTACCTTGTAGCCAGCAACTAGACAACAACAACAAAATTAATTCGACTGTACACGGTGCTTTGGTCCTTGATAACAAGCTGTAACAAGAGGGATTGAGACAATTATCGCAACGTCTCCCCCTTTGTTTCAGACATTAAAAAGTATAACAACACAAAGTGTTGGAAGGAATTTTTTTTCTCTGTTTATGGTTAGGATAGCAAGATTGGAAATATGCGTCTTCTTAGGTGATCTTACGTTGTTTATGATTTTAGTGCACGAGTGGTTAAAGCAGCTATACCTTCGTGAAAGATAATTATCACCAACCAAGACAAAGGACAGAGACACGCAGTTTGGCCGACAAAGGGAAAAGTTTAATCATTTGGCGGGCTTTTTCAGAAGAGATACAGGCCTCTCAATGAATAAAGATTTCGAAGAAAAAAAAATACAACAAAATGTATTGTCTTACCCTAAACTTGACTTAGTAAAAGTAAGAAACTAGAAAAGAATACGGTGGCGAGGAGGGTGGTGGTGGGAAGAGAAC